ATTGTGGATTGCTAAAAAATAATCACTTGAGATCATCTATTGTTTATTTGCAATGCCTGATTTAGCATAATAAAACCATAGTTCACGAAGAAAAATAAAAGTAAGTGGAATACAGATAAAAGATACCCGAAAACAAGTCAGGGCAGCCCGGGTTGACGTCCATGCAAAAAGATTGCCTACCATACAGTTTCATTAGAAAAATTGCTTTTCATGCTATTTTTAAACAAAAAAATTGTTGGACAAGCCTTTTTTCAATTGAAAATTGTTTTTGAAAATTTTCTTGAACTGGTTATGACAGAAAATCTTTGGCTCGACAGAAAATCTTTGGCTAGTGTGTTTCGTATGAAACACAAAAATTTGAAACAAAAAGTTTTAGTATTTTCATTTATAGAAAAAATGCTTGTCATACAATTTCAAAGTATGGAAATAATAATAATAATTATAATAATCATTATAAGATTGAATTAAACCCGCAAGACGGGGATTAGTTGCTCTTAGTCATTGATTACAAAGTTAATAAAATAAACTTAAAAACCATGAATCTGGATAAATCGAGTATTTAAAATTTTGTAGTTTGTCAACCAAGTTCTTTCTAAAGATTACAGGTTCTTGAAAAGGATCATAGCCAGGCAAAATGTTCGATCTCACGAGGGAAATTGACATTTCTGCGACACGGTAAACGAAATTTTCATAAAGTTTGCTCCGTGTTATCATTGGCATTCTCACAAACGTCTTGTTTCCCGTTCGATTTGACTCAGGGCCTTTGTCGATTGTCCAAAAATTAAAAAAATTTTTCAGCAACTCGTTATTAAGAACCTTATTCAGCAAAATTAAATCGTTTTTGAATAACGTCAGTGAAATTGGCAACAGTTTGCTTTTATTCAAGAACAAAACATAATCCTCATCATTCATTTCAAGTTTTTTGTAAAACCTTTTTAAGCATCGTCGTAGAAAATTTTCTATTCGCTACATTGGATTTAAGTTGCAAACCAAACTGGAGACGAATAAAAATTATTGATAGTAAGCAAGTTTTAAAAAGTGAAACGCGAACAGAGCTACTCAGTGAGTTTGGTGAAGATCTTCTGATGTAATTAAATTGCATGTTTGATTTTTTGAGCCTTTCCGTGATGTGATATACCCATGAAATTTTGACTTTACACCAAACAGCAAGGTCTTTCACCGTGTTTTTCAAAACTAATTGATCTCCATTAATGGATGAAAGATCGCTTAAAGGGTAACGCTTGTTTGATTTTTGAAATCTTATTTCTTCAAATTTTTCAAAAATGAAGTCAATTTTGTTTTCTGCTTCCCAGTTGATTACATTGTTCTAAATCCGTTTGATTCGAGGAAAGGTCAAACCTATTTCCAAAAGTTTTTGTATATTCAGCATATAAAAAAGAAGGGTTGTCAATAATTTCTGGCATATCGTTTATATATAAAGAAAACAAAAAACTGCAAAAATTGATCCCTGTAGACCACCACTCGTTACATTGCGGGACAAAAATTGAAGATACTCATGGTCGAAGCCTATTTTGGCAAGCTTCTATAAAATGATGTTATAGCTAATAGTGTCGAAAGCTTTTGCAATATCTAAAATTAGTGTGAGAGGTAATTCTTCTTGTTCTAATTTCTTGTTACAATATCACAGTACAACACAATACAAGGTTTGTCACAGTCGAATGATATTTTCTAAAACCATGTTGGTGTTAACACAACTTTCTTTGAATGAACCCTTTTATCTTGTTATATAAAACTCGTTCAAAACTTAAGGCCAGTGCAGAAAGTATTGAAATAGGCCTATAACTTTCAATGCTCATACGAGAAGCTTTTTTGTGCAAAGGATTAAGGTGTGCTATTTTCCAGATAACTGGAAACTGTGTATTACTGACTATGCAATTAAACAATTCAACAAAATCTTTCAAACACAACTGTAAAACGAAAACTAATATGTTAGGAGATATAGCATCAACTGAATTTGTTCCTGACTTGCATATACTCAATTCGTTAAGAATTTCGCATTGCGAAACGAAAATTTCTGATAGGTATATTCATGAAAAAATACTTTAGCTTTGAACATTTAATGGTTCGTTGTCTATTTTGAACACAGATGCAAAAAAATTGGTTAAAAGCCTCACAGATTGCAAAATCAGAGCATAAACTGGTACTTTTGTATGACTTTTTCCTGGGCACTTTCGCTTTTTACATTTATCGATCTGAGAAATGTGTAAGTCGTTTTCAAATCGAAGTTTTTCATTGACTCAAAGTAAACAGCTTTGTCTAATTCTAAAGAATCATTCAATCCTGGCTTGCAGGGTTTAACTTTCTCGTCAGAATAATTATGTTTCAATTCCGTCTGAAGGCAATTTTCAGCATTTATTGAGTGTGAAGACATCTAATGGGGGCTTTAGAGCGACGAATTGTCTTTTTTGGAATATATATTCATTAACGGCTTAATAATACAACCCATAGAAGGTTTCAAGCATTCTGTTTGCATCATTCGAGCAATGAAGTCTGTTATTTATGAAAAACAAACGCAATGATTCGGAGTCTGCTTTGCAAATACAGTAACGGTTTAGATTTATCTGTTCCGTTTCAATTTCAAATGCTATTTGACAGGAAAGTGCAGGATGATCTGACAAGCTTTGGTATATTTCGAAGTTAGAACTTAAAAAAGTATTGTCTGTTAAAAAACGTCTGGCTGTAAAAAATCACTATCTGTCAGTAAACCAAGATTGACCTTTACAATTGATTTCAAAAAACTGGATTCATGTTGGTCATCACTTTATAAAGTATTCCGATCAACTGAAGTTGAGTTCAGATCGCCGCATAAAATCCATTGCGTTGTGTTCAACTTAGATTCTACCATATGAACGTTGAGTTGTTTGTTCACTTCACTAAAAAAATTTTCAAATGTAGTTCCGTTTAGAGTATAAGGACTGTCATGCGGTGGGTTTTAAATGGCTTTTACGCAAAACATTAGGTCATTCAGCTTCACAAACAAATATGAACCAAAGTAAGAAAAAAACTGATTGATCATCGATCAGATTTAATTTAGATGATGTTTTAACCGCAATAAGGACTCCTCCATGATGTTCAGTTTTTTCTATCAGAACGGTGATTTACATCATTGACATCTTTGCAGAAAAATGCAGTATTTTCAACATTTTTAACCAACCATGTTTTGTTTAGGGCAACAGTGTCAGGTTGATGGATTCGCAAAAAATTGTCCAGTTTGATTTTCCGTTCAATTGTTAAAATTGGTGTGCAATTAAGTGACAAAAGCTTTATGTCATTAGTAGTCAAGAGGAAGAGTTCCCCTTACCAAGATTTTGATCACACTCAGAAATAACCTCTTTGTTACAGTCAATTGTGTAAGTGCCAAAAACAAGGCTTCCAAATGTTATTTTGAATTCTGATTTTTTTCTTTTTGCATCAAATAACTCAAATCGTATCTGTTTTTCAGAAATTTCCTTTCATTCTGACGGTCTGCCTAATTGACAAACTCTTCGATATACATATTCGAGTTCTTCAGCTTTCCCAATGACAGAAAAACAAATTTATGATGCCAAGGAGATGGATTGTAAAATACAAGAGGTCTTGATTTGTATGGTTGTTCTTTACCAAGTCTTAAACAGTCGCTCACAGTTATTTTTTTTAAGTTCCATCTTGCCTCTGAAAATTTGCAGCAAACTATTTCTGTCCCTTTCAGTTTGTACAACTTTATCGTCTTGTATATTTTCTGCTAATCCATATATCACTAGTTTCTTTCCAATAAGCCTAGAGTCTGTTTTGGCTTGGTTTGGGGTGGGAGCATTATTCATTGTTGTAGATAAACTGCTCTGTTTTGTAACATTTTCGCGAGGAACGCTAATATCTCTCTCAATTGACGAAAAATCGTTGCCCGTTCCAATGGACTGCTTCAAAGAAGCAAAGTTTTTTATATCCGAAGTTTCTTTCTGAATTGTCAATATTTGGTCGCTGTTCTGTTGTATTGAAAACTTTACATCGGCTAACTCGTTTTGGATCACTAAGTTTGCCTTTTGGATTTTGTTCGTTTTTATTTTTATTTTCATGTCTAAACACTCCTCGCATTTCCAGAATAAACCTTTTACTTTGCCTAAATTTTGAAGGACTTCCTTCGGCAATCTGTTACAGTCATCGTGAAACTAGGTTTCGCAAATGGCACATGAAAGACAACTAAATTCGCATTCATTTCCGCAAATTGTACATATATATTCAGGATCTTCAAGTAATAAAAGACTTATATTCTGTTTATCTTACGTTTTCCGTTTCATTTTTGGCATTTTCTCGGAAAACTTGGCGGAATAATTGGACTGATTTCACCAAGCTGAACAATCCGCTCCAAAATTCAATTGAATCTGGATGCCTTCAATCCAGCCCAAGTGTCCCCCAATAGGGATCCTCAAAAATCTTCAAAAATCCACTATTGGGTAAAGTTCTTTTCAGGCCCACCACGCGCTTAGTTTTACTGGTGATCTGATATAGTATTGGGACGCAAAAAGGAAGCATTTTTATTTGAAACAGAAATATTTTTAGATCCATTGTTTTTCAAAGCAAACCGCAAGTGCAAACTGCACTATTCTGGCATAAATTCTTAGCATATATTCTATAGTACAAAAAGGTGCTTTTGGTACTTACACAAAGTTTTTGTAATAAAAAGTATGACAAAAAACTTGTTATTTAATTTCAAAAGGTTGCAATGCTTATTATAGAATTTCACAGCATGGAAAAAGGCTTGTCATCTGTTTTTTTGGTCTTTGAAATAGTATCAAATATTATGGAGTCCACTTACACAAAAGTCAACAGTAATTTTGTAAACCTGCACTAGTGTAATTTGTCAGTGAATCCAATATAGCAGAAAAGGAAAAGCTTTGAGTCGGGTTAAGACGATAGCCTCAAACGATTTCAATTTCTTTCCAAGTTCTCCAATTTAAGATATCTAGAAAATGCAGATTTTTAATTGATACAAAACCAAGATGAATATTCTTTGTCGTAATCAGTGTCTGCCATTTTGTATTCAACTCATATAAAAAAGAAACTAATTTTTCATAGTATTTCAAGTTTTTCGAAGACTGTGGAGTTCTCAAATTTGTGGATTTCGTAACTTTGTTGAGTTTACTTTCTGAAAAAATCTCTCTTCATGGGGTTTTCAGGTAATCCCTCAAACTGGCGTCCCCTCCCCTGTCCAACGTGGTCTTCCTTAGTCCAAAACTGTCCACTGGGAGGTGGCTGGCCGCATGTTTCCTCTTCTGGTCCAGTCGTCTCTTCCAGCTGGCAGCCAGTTTGATGGCTTCATGCCCATCGGAGTTTTCGACCCCATCTTCTGGTTTTGGTTTCAGACCCTGAAGATGAAAAAATAAAATAAAACAAATATATTTTTAAAAGTGCGAAACTATTTTTGATGATCTAGAGAAAATTTTAATCACTCCTTGCAACGATTGGCTACATGTGAAAACTTGATACATTTCGAAGAGACAAAAATAAATTCCAGAAATTTCAAATTAAATAAATTGAGCGATAAAATTAAACAGTAAATGCAGTTCTTTGGTCGATCTTTAATTTCATTATAAAGTTAACTATCACCCAAACGTGAAAACTTTTTCAGCAGAAACCATCTATCTCCAAAGGGTTGCAACCATGAAGCTCATGCAAACTTACTTGAATGAAGAACTCATCCTTCAAAAAGGAAACGTGTTTTCATAAATGTTAATTGATTTGATTCGATTCCAGCTCAGGTTTTTTCTGTTTTTTTTTCTCAATTCAATTCATCAAAATCCAGTCTATTTTTTTCGGTTCAATTCGATCCAACTCGAATCGTTTATATTGGCGCTTCATATCATTTCTGTTCTTACTTTCATCAACTTTCTGACGATGAAAAACTGCAACTATTTTGGTCGCATGTTTACAAATTCCACCGTGTCTGATCAATAATGTTAGTAGAAAACTTAAACATTATCATCATTGGTAATTTAAGAAAGATTTATTGATAAGAAATTAATTTTTCCAATGAAAACAAACAAAAATTATAACAGGCTACTGCGCAAATAGAACAGGCTGTTTCGAACATAGTCTTATAAAACTACATATTAAATTGCGTTTGTTTTTTTTGTAGGTTTTTCTGCGTGGAGTGATAAAAAAAAAGGAATTTAAAAAGTTTAGTTTTTGAATTTTTTTGAAGTTTTTGGTTCCTAAAATGATGCTAAAAAACTCCAAAAACTAACTCTACATGTTTAAAACTAAGCTTGAATTTTTTAGGGCTTAAAAGGGTTTAAATTAGGCATGATGAAGCTGTTATTAGCCTGTTCGCTGGCTTTATTCGCTCACAAATGAAGTGAAAGTCAAAAATTTTTAGCCAGTTTTTTGCAACTTTTTTGTTGTTCAAATAACGACTAAAAGAGCTTCAATAAAGTATTTCACTCAATCCATTCTGATGATTATTCGTGGTATCTGAATGTTTGTGTAATATTAAAAGAAAAATAAGAAAAAATAAAACACAACCGAATACAAAGCTCCTCCACATTTTTCTGTCGGAACAACAAAACCTGACTCTAATGCATCATCAGTTTTTATTTTGTCTTTCAGCAGCATCACCGACTTTTTAAATCAACCCAAAAAACAAACTTTAATATACCCAAAAAATAATGAAATCGCAATTCACGTTGAAGAAGGAAGTAATTTGCTTACTTATACACAAGTTACAAAAAAAACGCGATTTTTTCGTCAAAGTGTTGAAAAAAGTGCCTAAAATCGCCTTTTGTTAAAAATTTTGCCTGCGGCGCCAACACAGGGATTTTTTAAAGCTTTCGAAATGCTCGGGAAATCAATTTGGTCGACCCAAAAAAAAGTCGACAAAATTTTTGATTTTTTTTTGAAAACCCGCCCTCCTCCTTCAAAAAAATCCTAGATCCGCCCCTCGACTGAGGCGTAACCGAAAACAACTATCCCCACAAAACGTCACAAAAACTTTTTTTTCATGCAGGACAATTTTTTTTATTTTTTCTGCTTCTTAAATGAAAAATTTTCTTGTGTAAGTCCTACAAGCTTTTTTTGCTCGCTTGAAACGAGACTAAAGCTCAAAACTTTCAAATCGTTTTTCCTCAACCTTGAGAAAACTAATGCCTTTCAAATCACGACTGGAAGTGCTGTAATATGATATAATACTCAATCAAATATAATGATTATTTGTTGTTTCTGATTTTGCTATGAAAAACGAAAAAATAAAGCATCCATAAACAAATTTCCTCCCCATTTTCAGTGGTCCGAGAACAACTAAAGCACATTCGAAGACCAAATTTCTCTCCGTTTGCAATGAATGATCTTATCAAAAATAGCAGAAAAAAAACAACACTTAGGAAAATCTCTAAAAAAATGGTTATCCGCCTATCGAGTGGGAACCTCATACAACTTAAATCCGTTTATTTTGAGGCCGTTTCTTGCAACTTTTTTGTTGTTCAAATAACGACTAAAAGAGCTTCAATAAAGTATTTCACTCCATCCATTCTGATGATTATTTGTGATATCTGAATGTTCGTGTAATATTAAAAGAAAAATAAGAAAAAAAATAAAACACAACCGAATACAAAGCTCCTCCACATTTTTCTGTCGGAACAACAAAACCTGACTCTAATGCATCATCAGTTTTTATTTTGTCTTTCAGCAGCATCACCGACTTTTTAAATCAACCCAAAAAACAAACTTTAATATACCCAAAAAATAATGAAATCGCAATTCACGTTGAAGAAGGAAGCAATTTGCTTACTTATACATGAGTTACAAAAAAAACGCGATTTTTTCGTCAAAGTGTTGAAAAAAAGTGCCTAAAATTGCCTTTTGTTAAAAATTTTGCCTGCGGCGCCAACACAGGGATTTTTTAAAGCTTTCGAAATGCTCGGGAAATCAATTTGGTCGACCCAAAAAAAAGTCGACAAAATTTTTGATTTTTTTTTGAAAACCCGCCCTCCTCCTTCAAAAAAATCCTAGATCCGCCCCTCGACTGAGGCGTAACCGAAAACAACTATCCCCACAAAACGTCACAAAAACTTTTTTTTCATGCAGGACAATTTTTTTTATTTTTTCTGCTTCTTAAATGAAAAATTTTCTTGTGTAAGTCCTACAAGCTTTTTTTGCTCGCTTGAAACGAGACTAAAGCTCAAAACTTTCAAATCGTTTTTCCTCAACCTTGAGAAAACTAATGCCTTTCAAATCACGACTGGAAGTGCTGTAATATGATATAATACTCAATCAAATATAATGATTATTTGTTGTTTCTGATTTTGCTATGAAAAACGAAAAAATAAAGCATCCATAAACAAATTTCCTCCCCATTTTCAGTGGTCCGAGAACAACTAAAGCACATTCGAAGACCAAATTTCTCTCCGTTTGCAATGAATGATCTTATCAAAAATAGCAGAAAAAGAAACAAAACTTAGGAAAATCTCTAAAAAAAGTGGTTATCCGCCTATCGAGTGGGAACCTCATACAACTTAAATCCGTTTGTTTTGAGGCGGTTTTTTAGCCCTGATTGTGAACTACGGGCTTTTTTGCTCTGATCATGAAGCGGGTAGGAGTTTTGAATTCTGGTTCTTAAATAATCCAAAAATTTCGAGAAAATCGGTACACAAGTTTCGCTTTTTGTCCAAGTGATCGAGTACAGCAATAAACTCATAATTCAGCAATGGGAAACCAATTTTAGTTTCAAGAATCTGGTTTTTAGAGCTTCAACTTGCGTTTCTGATGACCGAAAACGCAAAAAAAAACGAAATTTAACAAACGAATATGAAAAAATTGAAACCTCAATGTTTTTTGTTTTTCTCTCACACCTCGTACAAAAAAATGGCACAAAGTTTTGACAAGGCCTTCAGTTTAGGGGAGTAGTAGAGTGGTTTTCCTTGTCTTCTTCTTTAGGAGGGGTTGGTGGGGTTACCTCTGTATCGCACTCTGGGGGTTGGGGTGTACCTCCGTAATTCGCTTTTTCGATAAATTTTCCTACGGAGGGTGAGGGGCTATCTTGGTTTAATAGCCTTTGTGGGGAAATTTTTTCAATATTGTATTCAATTTAACTTCTTTTCTCAATCATGTTGATTCTATGATCTATCAAAAATGGTTACTTTAAACGCGGTAATAATCATCGTCAATATTTTTACTTTAAATTGCGGGAAGATTTATTCATCAGATTGTTCAATCATGAAAACGTTTTATGAAAATAGAAAAAATTACGCTTTTTTGCCATTTTTTCAAAAATAGTTGTGATCGCAACTTTCTGCGCGTCTTAGGAAGCCATCGTCAATTGTTCAATTTGTTGATCAATGAAATGGAAAGTTTGAACCATTTCAGGATATTTAATTTATATTGCGGGAAGATTTATTCATTTTATTGAGCTATGATGCACTTTTTTTCAATGAAATGGAAAGTTTCAACCATTTCAAAGTTTGAACCATGTGATTTATTCATTTTATTGAGCTATGATGCACTTTTTTTCAATGAAATGGAAAGTTTGAACCATTTCAAAGTATGAACCATGTGATTTATTCATTTTATTGAGCTATGATGCACTTTTTTTCAATGAAATGGAAAGTTTGAACGATTTCAAAGTTTGAACCACGTGATTTATTCATTTTATTGAGCTATGATGCACTTTTTTTCAATGAAATGGAAAGTTTGAACCATGTGATTTATTCATTTTATTGAGCTATGATGCACTTTTTTTCAATGAAATGGAAAGTTTGAACCATGTGATTTATTCATTTTATTGAGCTATGATGCACTTTTTTTCAATGAAATGGAAAGTTTGAACCATTTCAAAGTTTGAACCATGTGATTTATTCATTTTATTGAGCTATGATGCACTTTTTTTCAATGAAATGGAAAGTTTGAACCATTTCAAAGTTTGAACCATGTGATTTATTCATTTTATTGAGCTATGATGCACTTTTTTTCAATGAAGTGGAAAGTTTGAACCATGTGATTTATTCATTTTATTGAGCTATGATGCACTTTTTTTCAATGAAATGGAAAGTTTGAACCATGTGATTTATTCATTTTATTGAGCTATGATGCACTTTTTTTCAATGAAATGGAAAGTTTGAACCATTTCAAAATTTGAACCATGTGATTTATTCATTTTATTGAGCTATGATGCACTTTTTTTCAATGAAATGGAAATCTTGAACCATTTCAAAGTTTGAACCATGTGATTTATTCATTTTATTGAGCTATGATGCCTTTTTTTTCAATGAAATGGAAAGTTTGAACCATTTCAAATTTTGAACCATGTGATTTATTCTTTTTATTGAGCTATGATGCACTTTTTTTCAATGAAATGGAAAGTTTGAACCATGTAATTTATTCATTTTATTGAGCTATGATGCACTTTTTTTCAATGAAATGGAAAGTTTGAACCATGTGATTTATTCATTTTATTGAGCTATGATGCACTTTTTTTCAAGGAAATGGTAAGTTTGAACCATTTCAAAGTATGAACCATGTGATTTATTCATTTTATTGAGCTATGATGCACTTTTTTTCAATGAAATGGAAAGTTTGAACCATGTGATTTATTCATTTTATTGAGCTATGATGCACTTTTTTTCAATGAAATGGAAAGTTTGAACCATTTCAAAGTTTGAACCCTGTGATTTATTCATTTTATTGAGCTATGATGCACTTTTTTTCAATGAAATGGAAAGTTTGAACCATTTCAAAGTTTGAACCATGTGATTTATTCTTTTTATTGAGCTATGATGCACTTTTTTTCAATGAAATGGAAAGTTTGAACCATGTGATTTATTCATTTTATTGAGCTATGATGCACTTTTTTTCAATGAAATGGAAAGTTTGAACCATGTGATTTATTCATTTTATTGAGCTATGATGCATTTTTTTTTTCAATGAAATGGTAAGTTTGAACCATTTCAAAGTATGAACCATGTGATTTATTCATTTTATTGAGCTATGATGCACTTTTTTTCAGTGAAATGGAAAGTTTGAACCATGTGATTTATTCATTTTATTGACCTATGATGCACTTTTTTTCAATGAAATGGAAAGTTTGAACCATTTCAAAGTTTGAACCATGTGATTTATTCATTTTATTGAGCTATGATGCACTTTTTTTCAATGAAATGGAAAGTTTGAACCATTTCAAAGTTTGAACCATGTGATTTATTCATTTTATTGAGCTATGATGCACTTTTTTTCAATGAAGTGGAAAGTTTGAACCATGTGATTTATTCATTTTATTGAGCTATGATGCATTTTTTTTTTCAATGAAATGGTAAGTTTGAACCATTTCAAAGTATGAACCATGTGATTTATTCATTTTATTGAGCTATGATGCACTTTTTTTCAATGAAATGGAAAGTTTGAACCATGTGATTTATTCATTTTATTGAGCTATGATGCACTTTTTTTCAATGAAATGGAAAGTTTGAACCATGTGATTTATTCATTTTATTGAGCTATGATGCATTTTTTTTTCAATGAAATGGTAAGTTTGAACCATTTCAAAGTATGAACCATGTGATTTATTCATTTTATTGAGCTATGATGCACTTTTTTTCAATGAAATGGAAAGTTTGAACCATGTGATTTATTCATTTTATTGAACTATGATGCACTTTTTTTCAATGAAATGGAAAGTTTGAACCATTTCAAAGTTTGAACCATGTGATTTATTCATTTTATTGAGCTATGATGCACTTTTTTTCAATGAAATGGAAAGTTTGAACCATTTCAAAGTTTGAACCATGTGATTTATTCATTTTATTGAGCTATGATGCACTTTTTTTCAATGAAGTGGAAAGTTTGAACCATGTGATTTATTCATTTTATTGAGCTATGATGCACTTTTTTTCAATGAAATGGAAAGTTTGAACCATGTGATTTATTCATTTTATTGAGCTATGATGCACTTTTTTTCAATGAAATGGAAAGTTTGAACCATTTCAAAGTTTGAACCATGTGATTTATTCATTTTATTGAGCTATGATGCACTTTTTTTTAATGAAATGGAAAGTTTGAACCATTTCAAAGTTTGAACCATGTGATTTATTCATTTTATTGAGCTATGATGCCTTTTTTTTCAATGAAATGGAAAGTTTGAATCATTTCAAATTTTGAACCATGTGATTTATTCTTTTTTTTGAGCTATGATGCACTTTTTTTCAATGAAATGGAAAGTTTGAACCATGTGATTTATTCATTTTATTGAGCTATGATGCACTTTTTTTCAATGAAATGGAAAGTTTGAACCATGTGATTTATTCATTTTATTGAGCTATGATGCACTTTTTTTCAATGAAATGGTAAGTTTGAACCATTTCAAAGTATGAACCATGTGATTTATTCATTTTATTGAGCTATGATGCACTTTTTTTCAATGAAATGGAAAGTTTGAACCATTTCAAAGTTTGAACCATGTGATTTATTCATTTTATTGAGCTATGATGCACTTTTTTTCAATGAAGTGGAAAGTTTGAACCATGTGATTTATTCATTTTATTGAGCTATGATGCACTTTTTTTCAATGAAATGGAAAGTTTGAACCATGTGATTTATTCATTTTATTGAGCTATGATGCACTTTTTTTCAATGAAATGGAAAAATTGAACCATTTCAAAGTTTGAACCATGTGATTTATTCATTTTATTGAGCTATGATGCACTTTTTTTCAATGAAATGGAAAGTTTGAACCATTTCAAAGTTTGAACCATGTGATTTATTCATTTTATTGAGCTATGATGCACTTTTTTTCAATGAAATGGAAAGTTTGAACCATTTCAAAGTTTGAACCATGTGATTTATTCATTTTATTGAGCTATGATGCACTTTTTTTCAATGAAGTGGAAAGTTTGAACCATGTGATTTATTCATTTTATTGAGCTATGATGCACTTTTTTTCAATGAAATGGAAAGTTTGAACCATGTGATTTATTCATTTTATTGAGCTATGATGCACTTTTTTTCAATGAAATGGAAAAATTGAACCATTTCAAAGTTTGAACCATGTGATTTATTCATTTTATTGAGCTATGATGCACTTTTTTTCAATGAAATGGAAAGTTTGAACCATTTCAAAGTTTGAACCATGTGATTTATTCATTTTATTGAGCTATGATGCACTTTTTTTCAATGAAATGGAAAGTTTGAACCATGTGATTTATTCATTTTATTGAGCTATGATGCACTTTTTTTCAATGAAATGGAAAGTTTGAACCATGTGATGAATCTGACCTTGATACAGCATGCTTCTGTGTGTATGAGTGTATTTGAGACTGCATCTATGAGGTTGCCAGCATTGGTGACTAATGCGTCGTCTGTCTCGTGTTTGTCCGGACACACTGCCTTCACACTGGCCACCACCGACAGTTGGGTGCCCAGCATGGCTATCGGCTCACATGAGTCACGCAGGGTACGCGCCAGACTGAAATTCAAAATTACTAGCTAGCACAGTTTACAATTATATTTTGGCTGAAACGATAAACTGAAAAGACAAATGACTAATATTGAAATGAAAGAAGAGCTCACAGAAGCACGCAGAAGAGCTCACAAAAGCTCACAGAAGGGCCTAAGTTTCGACAGAAAAACAGATTTTTATCCCATTGGTATGTTACAGCTCAGTATGGTCGTTCAATAGTAGCCAATCACTTTGTGTTTATCAATCATTTTCAAAGACCATACTTTTTTGTGCAGAAGTCGAATTCTTTTGATTGTGTTCTTTTTCACAAAATGGCAGCAAAACATGGTGTCAATCAACATTTTAATTACAGAGCGATACAGTGGTAGTAAATCAGCGTCATCAGATGTTGATAACCTCAAAACTCGGATGTTCTTGTATAAGTAAAACACGGATATTCTAAGAGCTGAATTCAAGTTCTTTTCTTTTCTTGTTTGTTGATGTTTAAATTTTTGTTTCAATTTTTCAACTTTAGTGTCAATTAAATGTGTGTTTTATAGGGAACTGTTTTAGATGTTGATGTCAGATGTGATTTGAAGAGAAGAATTCCAGAATATTGATGCCTCTGGTGGACTGTTTCTTGTTTTGGATTACTCAGCTAGCTAAAAGGTTTTTTTCTTAGTTTTTCTGAGGCAATCCCTCCTGTTTTGGAGTCCCTAGGATAAGATTAAGAAATGCTCTGCATTCTCAGCGTGTGAGGAGAATTGATTTTGAGAAAACAAATTTTCTCTGGTTTTTTCTTCTCTGTTCAGAGACTGCTCGTCCTATGGGATGGGAATTAAAGTAGTTTTTTTGCCTCATTTTGTTGGATTTCTAATTGTTATAAAATGCTAGTCATAAAATTTTCATATATGAATAAATTCTAAATTTTCAATTTCCATATATGAAAAAATGCTAGTCATACACTTTCCATTTATGAAAAAATTCTCGTCATACAATTTCCTTAAATGAAAAAATACTAATCATAGGCCTTTCATGCAATTTTCTGTACGTATGGAATTGTATGGAAAGTGTATGACTAGCATTTTTCCATATATGGAAATTGTATGACTAATATTTTTGGTCAACCCGGGAAAGCCAAGGCTTACGTTCTTTGACTGTAATGGTCATTACCAACTTCATTTAGAAGCATACCACCCTAAATAAGTAGTTTTTAATTTCAGTTAAAGTTACATTCCACAAGAATTCGTTTAAATATGTCCATCTTTTGCAGTATTTCTTTCTCTCTACCACTTCGATTGGTCTGATTTTAAACATTTTGTTGAATTTTTTTTCTTTTTGCCGGAGGGAAAAGAACTAAAGTAGTTTATATTTAATTACTCACATCAGAATTTTTCCTCCCAAGGGCAGTGCTGTGGTCTGATTTTATACTTTTGAATTATTAATTAGTTAATAGGTCTTTGTCTGGCCTTCAGTTTAAGCCACACTATCAAATTGATCTCAGTCACATTTTATCTAATGTTTTAATTTTTAAGTAATTCGCTTATTTTACCTTTTTCTTACGTCAGTTAAATATCTTAGCTAGAGCATAAAATTATTTTTTCAGATTTATCTCAATGCTGTTTTAGATCACACAATGGTATTTCATTTGTTTCATAATACTTTGTTACAGGCGTATTTCGATGGCTCAATTTTGGTTTACAAATGTTCACTAAAAAGTGTTTTTGAGTTTAGCAAGAACTAAAGCAGTCAGGCAAAGAGGGCCTCCTCTGGATACAGCAGTCTTGGTTTGATTTGTTCCGATTTTTTTTGTTTCCATATTACAGCAGTAAAACACAAAAATGAGCCATAGAATGAGGAACCCAAACTCTTCAATTCCGGTTGCCAAATTGTTTCGTAAAGCTTTGATCGAATTTTTCCAAAAAAACCATATAACTTCTTTTGAAAAAATCGGCAGCGTCGCAGAAACGCTTTGCAAAATTTGCTTTCAGGGGAACTCGTAAAATTTATGCAACCTAATAAAACAAAATAAAACGACGACAAAGTTTTCAAAAATTTCTCGAAACTTCATCCAGATGTTATTTCATTTTTGAGCAATTATAGAAAAATTAATTCCATGAGGCTAGCTTTTTTTACGGATTACTTAATGAGCAAAATACTTCCGAGAGTTGGTGTGAGCTGAAGTTTCCAAAATTTCTCAAAACCACTAAACCATATTTTATTTCATTTTTGAGCAATTATAGAAAAATTAATTCCATGAGGCTAGCTTTTTTTACGGATTACTTAATGAGCAAAATACTTCCGAGAGTTGGTGTGAGCTGAAGTTTCCAAAATTTCTCAAAACCACTAAACCATATTTTATTTCACTTTTGAGCAATTATAGAAAAATTAATTCCATGAGGCTAGCTTTTTTTACGGATTACTTAATGAGCAAAATACTTCCGAGAGTTGGTGTGAGCTGAAGTTTCCAAAATTTCTCAAAACCACTAAACCATATTTTATTTCATTTTTGAGCAATTATAGAAAAATTAATTCCATGAGGCTAGCTTTTTTTACGGATTACTTAATGAGCAAAATACTTCCGAGAGTTGGTGTGAGCTGAAGTTTCCAAAATTTCTCAAAACCACTAAACCATATTTTATTTCATTTTTGAGCAATTATAGAAAAATTAATTCCATGAGGCTAGCTTTTTTTACGGATTACTTAATGAGCAAAATACTTCCGAGAGTTGGTGTGAGCTGAAGTTTCCAAAATTTCTCAAAACCACTAAACCATATTTTATTTCATTTTTGAGCAATTATAGAAAAATTAATTCCATGAGGCTAGCTTTTTTTACGGATTACTTAATGAGCAAACTACTTCCGAGTGTTGGTGTGAGCTGAAGTTTCCAAAATTTCTCAAAACCACTAAACCATATTTTATTTCATTTTTGAGCAATTATAGAAAAATTAATTCCATGAGGTTAACTTTTTTTCGAATTACTTAATGAGCAAAATACTTCCGAGTGTTGCTGTGAGCTGAACTTTCCAAAAGTTCTCAAAACCACTAATCCAAATGTTATTTCATTTTTCAGTAATTATAGAAAAATTAATTCCATGAGGCTAGCTTTTTTTACGGATTACTTAATGAGCAAAATATTCCAAGTGTTGGTGTGAGCTGAAGTTTCCAAAAGTTCTCAAAACCACTAATCCAAATGTTATTTCATTTTTCAGCAATTATAGAAAAATTAATTCCATGAGGCTAGCTTTTTTTACGGATTGCTTAATGAGCAAAATTCTTCCAAGTGTTGGTGTGAGCTGAACTTTCCAAAAGTTCTCAAAACCACTAATCCAAATGTTATTTCATTTTTCAGCAATTATAGAAAAATTAATTCCATGAGGCTAGCTTTTTTTACGGATTACTTAATGAGCAAAATACTTCCAAGTGTTGGTGTGAGCTGAAGTTTCCAAAAGTTCTCAAAACCACTAATCCAAATGTGATTTCATTTTTCAGCAATTATAGAAAAATTAATTCCATGAGGCTAGCTTTTTTTACGGATTACTTAATGAGCAAAATACTTCCAAGTGTTGGTGTGAGCTGAACTTTCCAAAAGTTCTCAAAACCACTAATCCAAATGTTATTTCATTTTTCAGCAATTATAGAAAAATTAATTCCATGAGGCTAGCTTTTTTTACGGATTACTTAATGAGCAAAATACTTCCAAGTGTTGGTGTGAGCTGAACTTTCCAAAAGTTCTCAAAACCACTAATCCAAATGTTATTTCATTTTTGAGCAATGATAGGAAAAATATTTACATGAGGCTAGCTTTTTTTACGGATTACTTAATGAGCAAAATACTTCCGAGTGTTGGTGTGAGCTGAAGTTTCCAAAAGTTCTCAAAACCATTAATCCATATGTTATTTCATTTTTCAGCGATTATAGAAATATTAATTCCATGAGGCTAGCTTTTTTTACGGATTACTTAATGAGCAAAATACTTCCAAGTGTTGCTGTGAGCTGAAGTTTCCAAAAGTTCTCAAAACCACTAATCCATATGTTATTTCATTTTTGAGCAATTATAGAAAAATTATTTCCATGAGGCTAGCTTTTTTTACGGATTACTTAATGAGCGAAATACTTCCAAGTGTTGCTGTGAGCTGAAGTTTCCAAAAGTTCTCAAAACCACTAATCCATATTTTATTTCATTTTTGAGCAATTATAGAAAAATTATTTCCATGAGGCTAGCTTTTTTTACGGATTACTTAATGAGCGAAAAACTTCTGAGTGTTGCTGTGAGCTGAAGTTCCCAAAAGTTCTCAAAACTACTAATCCATATTTTATTTCATTTTTGAGCAATTATAGAAAAATTAATTCCATGAGGCTAGCTTTTTTTACGGATTACTTATGAGAAAAATACTTCCAAGTGTTGGTGTGAGCTGAAGTTTCCAAAAGTTCTCAAAACCACTAATCCATATGTTATTTCATTTTTGAGCAATTATAGAAAAATTAATTCCATGAGGTTAACTTTTTTTTTCGAACTACTTAATGAGCAAAATACTTCCGAGTGTTGCTGTGAGCTGAAGTTTCCAAAAGTTCTCAAAACCACTAATCCATATTTTTTTTCATTTTTTAGCAATTATAGAAAAATTAATTCCATGAGGCTAGCTTTTTTTACGGATTACTTAATGAGCAAAATACTTCCGAGTGTTGGTGTGAGCTGAAGTTTCCAAAATTTCTCAAAACCACTAAACCATATTTTATTTCATTTTTGAGCAATTATAGAAAAATTAATTCCATGAGGCTAGCTTTTTTTACGGATTACTTAATGAGCAAAATACTTCCGAGTGTTGGTGTGAGCTGAACTTTCCAAAATTTCTCAAAACCACTAAACCATATTTTATTTCATTTTTGAGCAATTATAGAAAAAATAATTCCATGAGGCTAGCTTTTTTTAAGGATTACTTAATGAGCAAAATACTTCCGAGAGTTGGTGTGAGCTGAAGTTTCCAAAATTTCTCAAAACCACTAAACCATATTTTATTTCATTTTTGAGCAATTATAGAAAAATTAATTCCATGAGGCTAGCTTTTTTTACGGATTACTTAATGAGCAAAATACTTCCGAGTGTTGGTGTGAGCTGAAGTTTCCAAAATTTCTCAAAACCACTAAACCATATTTTATTTCATTTTTGAGCAATTATAGAAAAATTAATTCCATGAGGCTAGCTTTTTTTACGGATTACTTAATGAGCAAAATACTTCCGAGTGTTGGTGTGAGCTGAAGTTTCCAAAATTTCTCAAAACCACTAAACCATATTTTATTTCATTTTTGAGCAATTATAGAAAAATTAATTCCATGAGGCTAGCTTTTTTTACGGATTACTTAATGAGCAAAACACTTCCGAGAGTTGGTGTGAGCTGAAGTTTCCAAAATTTCTCAAAACCACTAAACCATATTTTATTTCA